TACGCCGGGCCTGCTGGGCCTCCATCTCCACGACGTCCTTCATCCTCGAGGAGGAAAGACCCAGCTTCCGCGCCCACACTCTCAGGGCAGCATCCAGAGGGCAGCCCCCGCGCGTACCCGCCTCTGCTTCCCTCCCTTGCGGGCGCCTCTCTGGCCAGAGCAAGTCATGTGGCCACGCGCAGCATCGCACCAGCGCGGGGATGCAGGGGTGTGGTCATTGGTGTAACAATCTACCATCCATTTCTTCTCCGCATGAGAGACTCAGGCAGGTCCCGGAGATGAAAGACCCGACTTGGGTGGGTCCGAACCAGGCGGTCCTTGCCCTGGCTTTGGGGCTCATTGTGTGAGATGGGTCACTCACACTAGGTCTGTTTCCTCCTCCGTAAAGTGGAAGGTGGGCTTCTACAGCTCAGTTAGGCACAGGGCTGTTACGTAAGGGGTACGAGCTCTTCTCCCGTCGGCTCTGAGGCCCTCGCAGAAGGAAACAGACCAGGGGGCTGGAAGCAGGATAATCTGCTGCCCGGCCCGTGTGGCTCAGTGGCTGAGCGTCGACCCTGCTCCAGGAGGTCGCCGGTTCCATTCCTGGTCAGGGCATGTGCCCAGGTTGTGGGCCTGATCCCCAGTGGGGGGCGTGCAGGAGGCGGCCAATCCATGTTCTCTCTCATGGATGTTTCTATCTCTCTCTTCCTCTCTCTCTACAATCAATGAAGAAAAAAAAAATACAAGTAGGATAGTTTGGGTTAAAGCCCCCTCCCCAGAAGCTTGCTCACTGGCAAGACCCCGGGATAGACTACGAAGGAAGACTGTGGATCTTACTAACCAGACCTCTTTAGGGACTGGAAAGAGCCCAGCTCTTCAGGCCGATGGACAGGTGACTCCTGAAGCCCCTTCATCCAGCAGTGTCTTAGCCGTCGCTGTCTGCCCGCCACAGCTGGGCCAGGGGAGCTGGGATTCGGGGACAAAGGCTTACCCGGACTCAGCAGTCCAGACCTGTGGCTGACGGTCCCTGAGGAGCCCTGTCTGCAGAGGGAAGGACAGGTGTGCTGTCCCCGTTCCCGGGGGGCTTGTTAGCTCTCCCACGAAGCTGCCTTCCCTCGGAAGCCTCAGGGGCACACGTGTGTGTTCAGTAATTGGTGCTGACCGAGCCCTGACCCCGGACGGCGGTCCCCTGTGCATCGAAGGCAATAGCTAGAGACTCCTGAGCTGGCAGGGCTGAGAGACGGGAAGACGTCAGACGGCTTCTGGTCCCCAGGCTGCCTGAAGACTGACATCCCATGTCAGACCAGGGGACCTGGGGACAGGAAGGCAGGTCTGAGGCAGAGCCACACCTGTGACCTAGAAACTCCCACAGTTTAGGAGGCAATGAAAGGACCCCCCCACCCCAAATATAGGGCAGAAGAGCTCTTGCCCTTGTTCCTTCCTTCAACTGCTTGTTCATTCAAGCAGTAACTATTGCCAGGCTCTGTGATACCCACAAGGGAAACAGTGCAGATTTTAAAAAACTTAGAAGGGTCCAGCCGGTGTGGTTCAGTGGTTGAGTGTCGACCCTGCACCAAGAGGTCGCTGGTTCGATTCCCGGTCAGGGCACATGCCCAGGTTTTGGGCCCATCCCCAGTGAGGGGCATGCAGGAGGCAGCCAATCAATGTTCTCTCTCAACCATGTTTCTATCTCTCTTTCTCCCTTCCTCTCTCTCTAAAATCAGTAAAAGCAAAAAAAAATTTTTGTTGTTTAAAAAACTAAATAGCCCTGGCTGGTTTGGCTCAGCAGTTGGGGCGTCAGCCCACGGACCAGAGAGTCCCAGGTTCAGTTCCCACTAAGGGCACAGACCTTGGTTGCAGTGTGTCCCCGGCCCCGGTTGGGGTTGTGTGGGTGGCGACCACTCGATGTGTCTCTCTCTCACGTGGATGTTTCTCTCTCTCTCTTCCTCTCTCCCTCCCACTCTATCTGAAGATAAAGGCAAAAAAAAAAAAAAAAAAAAGTCCTCGGGTGAGGATATAAATAAATAAATGAATATAAAAACCTAGAAGGGCAGGTGAGAGCCCAGGTGAGATTCGAGTGCCAAGTTCTACGGAAGCAGTTGAGCAGGAGAATGTGGCCTGGTCTTCCTCCCTGAGGAAGTCCCCCCAGACTGACGGTTGCTAGGAGATGAGACCGAGCTGGAACTGGAAGGAGGGTGGTTGGAGGACCTGAGACGGGCCAGCCAGTGCGGCCAGTAGGCAGAGGGCTTGAGGAGGACGGGACCAGCCAGGCTGGACCGTAGGCAGGGCTGGACGGGAAGGGGTTTGAACTGTTACCGCTTTCAACGTCTCTTTCAATAGCAAAGGGAGCAACGGGCATGGGAGGGTGGGCCTGGTCAAAGTTGCGCCCTGACAAGATCACTCTAGCCACAAGGCAAAGACAGGTCAGGTGGCGGATGTGTCGTGACCAGTCATATTCCAGGACAAGATGATGGCAGCTTGGCCTAGGGGTGGCAGGGGAGATGGCAAGACATGAATCAATTCAGAGATGTTTAAGACAGTGAACTGGACAGGACTTGTTGAGGCCCTGGATAGAAGTGTGGCGAAGAAGAAGGTGTTGGGGTGCCTTTGCAGTTGCTGACTTGATGGACCAGCTGGCTGGGAACGCCAGGCACTGATTCGGGGGACACTGGGAAAGCACCAAACGGCAGGACCGTGCAAGGTCCACTTTGGACGCCCCCAAATGTGAGGCATCTGTGAGGCATCTGATAGGTGCTTCTGGAGCTCCTAGGGTGGGGACAGGGCAGAGCTGTACACCGGGGTCCCTGGCAGGGAGGTGATCACCACCGCTGCGACCACGGGGTAGGGGCCAAGCCCAAGGCTCGAGAGGTGAGCCTGCAAAGCAGACAGAGAAGCTGTGACCAGAAAGTCGGTGACGAGCACAGAGTGGGCACAGGGCAGAGTGCCCAGGAGGGAGAGGCCAGGTACACCGGCGGGTTTGAGAACCGTCTTCTGCGTCTGGTGCCCCAGAGTCATTGGCACCTGTAGCAGGGGCTGTTGGAGAGTGGGGGGAGGGGTGGGCAGAGCAGGATTGAGAAGGGGGGGGTGAGGGAGGCATGGGGGGGGGGGACCCAGCTTGGCCCAGGACTTCGGATGGCACCTGAGAGGAGAGAGGGTAGCTGGAGACGTGCGAGGCTGAAAAGATTTCTCTGAAACATGAACGGACGAAAGCGTTTGTAAATGCCAGCAGGAAGAGTCCAGATTTGGGGGTGGGGTGGGGGTCAGGGAAGCCGGTGGTGAGGGGCCCGGGGGCCAGGGAGGATCCCTGAGGCAGGGCTGGGGAGGGGGGAGGCAGCGGCTGCCGAGCCCAGGTGCAGAGCTGCAGCCCCAGGGACGGGCAGTGCCGCGCTGTGGCCGGTCCCACCTGCTGGCCGCCCTTGGCCAGGGTGTCTGCGACCCTGCCACCTGTTGTCCTCTCCTGGGCCCTACCCGCCCTGTCTCCTGGGGAAGGCCCTGCCCCGTCAGCGGTGTCTCTGGGAGGCTCTGCTGGAAACGTTAGGGGCAGGGCCGCGAGCAAGGACAGGCGGACAGGCGGACAGGCGGACAGGCGGACAGGAGGAAGCAGGCTCCTTGCTCTGGCTTCGGGTTTTATGTGAGGACGGCCAAGGGGAGGCGACAGCGGGGCGCCTGATCCCGCGTGGGCTGGTGCGGGAGCGGCCGTTTCTCCCACCGGACCCCTTGGGGGGGCGGCCTGCGGAGGGAGCCGTCCCCCTGCGGGAGGGAAGGGGGGTCTGGAACAGATGACCGCCGCAGCGTGGCACGTGGGCACGTTTTCCCGGGCTGTCCCCCGGCTCAACGTGGGGGCCAGAGCTGAGGAGGAGACCCCTGTCCTTGGGGTCCCGCGACAGACAGCAGGTCCCAGCGTACAGGAGCCGCCCTGGCGCCCTGCGGGGGAGGGGCGGGTGCAGAAGCCTTTGTGACCACTGACGCCGGTGGAGAGTGGTCCGGGCGTCTTGGGGGCGCGGAGAGGCCAGGAAGACTGGGGGAGGGGCACACTCAGCACTGCCACAGAGCACCCCTGGGGGAGGAGGGAGAGGAAGGAGCAGCCCACCGAGGCTACTGGAGCCCAGGGAAGCACCGGGACCGCCCAAGGTGACCCGCCCAAGGTGACCCTCCCAAGGCCACAGGTCAGCTGCCCTGAGGGGACAGGACACAAACACGAAGGGCCCTGAGGTCCGGGAGCCGCCGAGGTTGGCGGGTGCTGCGTCCCTGAGCACAGGGTCTTCCCTGCGCCCGGGAGGACAGGTAGGGCAGAGCAGGCGGCGGGAAGCAGCTCTGGCTGACCGCTGTCTGCAGGCAGGACGCTGACCGCTGTCTGCAGGCAGGACGCTGGGCCAGGCCTTGGAAGGCAGGAAGGCCCCGGGGACAGCACAGCGAGGGACACCAGGCACCTGTGCCAGTCATTCAGCCGACTCCAGGACCCCGACAGGGCATCGTGTTGGGCTCCCGGCCTCCTCCTCTCTCTGACATTGTACTCAAGTCTGTGTCCCCTCTGAGCCCGTCATGGGACACATTCTGGCAGGCAGGATCGGAAACACCATGCCCGGGTCGTCCCCTGGCTCCCCGTGCCGGCGCCAGCCCCCGGGGCAGCTCCTCTGAGCCGGAGGGTGCGGGCTGGCTGCCTGGGGGGCACTACCTGGGGGACCTGCTTCCCAGGGGGACAGACCCGGGGGTGAGGGCAAACTCAAGACGGGATGGACAGGCTCACAGAGCAAACAAGGGCACTCTGAGGGGGCGCCAGGAGGGAGCCGACACACACCCAGCCGGTCGGCTCGGACCACAGGGAGGGTGATGGGTCTCCAGAGACGGCAGCACCGAGGTGGCCACAGGGCCGTGTCCGGTCCGTGGCAGCCGCCCGCCCAGCCCTGCCTGTGGACGCTCCGCCGTGGACGCTCCGGGGCAGGCTCTGTGGCTGGCGGGCGGAGGGCCGAGGGCCGAGGGGCCAGGCCTCCTGTCTGACGTGTCTCCCTTTTCTCCGGCAGCTCAACATCCTGGTGGACACGGGCAGCAGCAACTTCGCGGTGGGGGCTGCCCCCCACCCTTTCCTGCGCCGCTTCTACCAGAGGCAGCGGTGAGTCCTGGGAGGGGGCCGGGGGAGAGGGCCGCAGCCCCGTCCTGCCGGGGAGGGGGGGGCAGGGGCGGAGGTGACGGTGGCCAGGGCAGACGGGGCAGGACGGGGAGGTGTGCTAGGGACAGAGGACGTCGAGGGGCAGCAGGACCGACTGCGTGTGGAGACCAGGCAGCCTCCCGTGGCAGGGAAATAGGAGGGGAGCAGCCCCGGCTCCCAGGGCAGTCTCGGGGGTCATCCTCTTCCTGACCGGGAGGTAAGGGGACTTCGTTCCGCGCCCCGCAGTGGCTCCTTTTGAGACACCGGTGGGGCCGCAGGGACAGCTCGCTTTGCTGGTCTCACCCGGTCACTCAGTGGCTTTGCATGGGTCACGGGAGGGAAGAGCCTCCCACAAACCCCACTGCCCGCACCAGCATCGGAGACCACAGGCGAACCGCCTGCTCCTGCACCAGCCAGAGCTCCAGCAGCGGGCTCAGCTACCCGGCGAGGGTCCAAGGGCCCCTTAGGGCCGAGAGGCCGCAAGGGGTCACCGAGGAGCACCCTAGTGTAGGAGCCGGAAGGCGTGAGGACGCCCAGATGCGGAGGCGTCTGTGTGGGGACAGGAGTAGAGGCCCAAGTCCTACTCTGGGCTTCTGGGCAGATCCGGGCCCTCGCCCAGCCGCTGCCTCCCCTTTGGCGGCCCATCTGGAGAAAGTGGGGGAGTGGATCAGGATCCAGGGGGGTAATTCATTCTAGGCCCTTGTCCGGTCCCGTCACTGCCCGTCCCACACGAGCCCTGGTAGCAGCCCTGGTCAGCGGCGTGATGGGACGCAGCGGGCAGGTCCGTGGGCGTCTCCTCCACGTGGTGGGCGCCCTGCTGAGAGGCCGTCCTCACCCTGCTCTGGAGGACTTTAGAGGCTCCGCATCACCCCACTGGCACTGTCTACCGCTCAGATGCACCCCCAGATCCCAAGGCAGCAGGAGAATCAATGGCTCCTTTTCTCCGGGAGCTGGATGGAGCTGGGGGTGGGGTGGACAGGAGATGCCACTAGCTGTCCCCTCAGCCGCAGCAAGAACAATACACAAAGCCCAGGCTTGTTCGTCCCGGGCCCGCACTCACAATCTGGGGCTACGGGACCAGGAGTGGAGCCCCAGCAGCTCCCCCATCTGTCTGCCAGGTCACTCCGTGTGCCGGCTGGGTGACTGGTCCCCCTAGAGGTCCTGCGGAGCAGCCGGACAGCACCTGCTCATGTACAGTGCCCCCGAGACAAGGCCAGGCGCCGGGAGCTGCCTTGAGGCTGGGCCCCTGTACCAGTAGTTGTGGTCACGCATGCACAGACCTCTGCCCCCTTTCACAGGTCCAGCACCTACCGGGACCTCCGCAAGGGCGTGTACGTGCCCTACACCCAGGGCAAGTGGGAGGGGGAGCTGGGCACCGACCTGGTGAGCATCCCCCACGGCCCCAATGTCACCGTACGAGCCAACATTGCTGCCATCACTGAGTCAGACAAGTTCTTCATCAACGGCTCCAACTGGGAAGGCATTCTGGGGCTGGCCTACGCCGAGATCGCCAGGGTGAGTGCGTCCTCGCTCCGCATCGCCGGCCCGCGCCCGGGGGGAGGCGGGAGAGCGGGCGGGGGCCTACTGAGGGAGAGAAGCATCCGTCTAGAGGCCGTCTGAACCCCATTCCTGCAGAGGGCAGAGCTCAGTGAGACGCTGTGTAGGAACAGCAGGCTGTGGCTCCGACTCAAATCAAGAGTAAGGGCCCCACAGATCTCAAACAGGTTGCGCCTGCGGGGATCAGGGCTCCTCTGGATCCGCCGGCCCTCAGGACTTCCGTTTGCACTGCCTGTGTCCTCTGACCCTTTCCGCACTGAAGCTCAGGCCCGCAGAGGGTCTTTTCCCGGCTCAGGCAGGAGGCTGGCCTTGGCCGTCCTGCGTGAGGCTCACTCTGTCTTCCCCCAGCCCGACGACTCCCTGGAGCCCTTCTTCGACTCCCTGGTGAAGCAGACCCAGGTGCCCAACCTCTTCTCCCTGCAGCTGTGTGGCGCTGGCTTCCCCCTCAACCAGTCCGAGGCGCTGGCCTCGGTCGGAGGGAGCATGGTGAGCAGGTCCTAGGAGAGGGGAGGTCCTGGGCTGGGCGGGCCGGGTACCAGCCGCCCCCCCTTCCTCCTCTGAAGAGACACCACGCTCCTGGGCTCCTCCGTTAGAACCTTCATCTCCTCTGCCCCCTTCCCTGTCCATCGTCTCCTCCCTGCATCCTTCTAGAAGGACTCAGGTCACCTAGGGGGATCCTAGAAAGGCTCAGAGATGAAGGAGGATTTCAAAGGCAATGAGAATAGACCTGTTGGAGTAAGATTATTCAGTCTGATGATCAGAAGACGCTTTAAAGTCGATTTATTAATTAGTGAGGGCAATTGGTGAATGGTTCTCCATCTCCAACAAGCAGAGAAAAGGAAATCTATAGCAGAAGCAAACAACAGTCGACATTTATTGGGCCAGCTTAGGTTTAAATAACTTCGTCCCAAGGATTGTGTGATTGCGAACAAAGAAGTAAAAGTCCCCGAACACATTCTTCGCACGTTCTAGGAAACGGGGCACGAGCTGGTTAGAAGCAGGTGAGGAAGGTGACCTGTGGAGGGCCTTGCCACTCCCCAAATCACTGTCCTGTCGCTTGCTTTCAGGGGTGATTGGCTGTCCTTCTGTGCTGGGACTCGGGGACCTGCCTCTTTTTCTCCCTAGATCATTGGGGGTATCGACCACTCACTGTACACGGGCAGCCTCTGGTACACACCCATCCGGCGGGAGTGGTATTACGAGGTGATCATTGTGCGAGTGGAGGTCAATGGACAGGACCTGAAAATGGACTGCAAGGAGGTACTGCAGCCGGGGTGCCGGGGGAGGGAGGGGCGGCGACAGGGGTCCAGCTCTGCAGCCCGGAAGACCTGGGTCTCTGCTCTGCCCCGTACCGGCCGGCCGGCGGCCCTTAGGCAGGTTGCCACGCTGTGCCTCAGTTTCCTTGTCTGCAAACGAGGTGGAAACAGCGTCCCAGAGACAGGTGAAGACAGGGAAACGAACCAAGTGTTTGTCCCAGTGCTACCCAGGAAGCGGCTGCCAAACCGCGGGGTCGCCCTCACTGAGATTCGTATCGGATACTAAATAGGAGTAGATGAGCCACTATACAAGGCGTTTTTATTTTCAAGATTTGGGGAATATGCTTCCACCCAAGAAAACGTGTAGTGGCTCTCCCTGTGCGCCAGGCTCTGTTCTGAGCACGCCGGGCGAATTAGTGTATTTAGCCTTGTCACTCTTTGAGGTAGATGCGGAAACTGAGGCACCAGGGTTAGGTCACTTGTCCGAGGATTCGCACCTAAGAAGTGGCAGAGCCAGGAAGCCCACCCAGGCAGGACGCCGACCCAGGCAGGACGCCGACCCAGGCAGGACGCCGCAGTCGGACTGGCCGCAGCTCAGCCAGAGCCTGGCGTCGACCTGGCTCCTGACTTCCGCCCCCTGCTCTCCCTGCAGTACAACTACGACAAGAGCATCGTGGACAGCGGCACCACCAACCTCCGCCTGCCCAAGAAAGTGTTTGACGCTGCAGTCAAATCCATCAAGGCAGCCTCCTCGGTCAGTGGGGCTAAGTCGGGGGCCGAGATGACGAGTCAGAGGGAGTCTGTCGAGTCACAGTTTGCTCCAGCGCCGGAGCGTCTGCCCCTAGACCAGCGGTTCTCAACCTGTGGGTCGCGACCCCTTTGGGGGGGGTCGAACGACCCTTTCACAGGGGTCGCCTCAGACCGCTCCTCTGCCCCCTGCAGGCGGGCCCGCCCACAGGCAGATGCGCCCACAGACATGAGGAGCTGTGTTAAAGGGTCCGGCCTTAGGGAGGTTGAGAGCCACTGCCCTAGACCCTCTGCCGGGAGCTCTCAGCTGGGGGCGCTGTCACCCAGCGCCCCTCGCAGAGCCTTAGCCTCGTCCCGCCGTCTTCCTCCCGTCCCTGGGTCTCGGTGGACCTTTCCCCAGCTGGGCTATCCCGGGAAAAGCCACCAGAGGGCCCAGGGAGTGTGGCCGGAGAGTGGGGGATGTGAGGGTGACAGGCTGTTTCCTCTCGTCGTCCCTTCCTGGGCCGCACAGACGGAGAAGTTCCCCGACGGCTTCTGGCTAGGGGAGCAGCTGGTGTGCTGGCAAGCCGGCACCACCCCCTGGAACATCTTCCCAGTCATCTCCCTCTACCTGATGAGCGAGGTCAGCAATCAGTCCTTCCGCATCACCATCCTTCCACAGGTACGCCCCACCTGGGCCAGGGGGCCCCCAGGCAGGCGGTACGGCCAGGGAGACGGTCACAGGCACAGCTCCCGACACTTAGAAGACGAAACAGATCAGGGGTAAAGGGCTCTTGGGAGAAGCAACCCGAGCTCAGGGCTGAGAGGGAAGAGCGGCCGAAGGGCAGACACGCGGAGGCAGAGACGGGGTGGGGGATGGGAGAGAGAGGGGAAGACACCCTGACTCCGACTCCTCACCCTCAGCAATACCTGCGGCCGGTGGAGGACGTGGCCACGTCCCAGGACGACTGCTACAAGTTCGCCATCTCGCAGTCGTCCACGGGCACTGTCATGGGAGCGGTCATCATGGAGGGCTTCTACGTCGTCTTTGATCGGGCCAGGAAGCGAATAGGCTTCGCCGTCAGCGCCTGCCACGGTGAGGGCACGCGGGGGTCCGTCTGTCCATGTTCTCCCTGTCCAGCGGTCAGGAGGCCCGGGCCCCGGCAGTCCGGGCGGCGGGAAGGCGCCCCGAGCCAGTGGCCACGTGCCAAGGCCAGAGCCTGTGCTTGTTCCCGGCCTGGCGGCGAGCCCGCCTCAGAGCCACTGCTGCACACCCAGGGCAGCGGGCTGAGCTCGTGCCTGCCCCCTGCTGGATGGCGAGGCCCAACTGCATTGCAGCAGCGGCAGGCGAGCCCCCAGGTGTGCGTGGGGTTGCCGAGGCACCGCTCCCGCGGGACAGGTGCACGGGGGCGGCCGTTGCTCCCAAAGGCCTGGGCCGAGCCGGGCCTGCAGCGGGCACTGCGGCTCCAGCCTTCTGGGGCTGTGCCAAGGCCTGTCGGGAAGTTCTTTCCCCCTGCGTGACCCCAGCCCTGCCCCTCTGCCCTCTGCCCTCCGCAGTGCATGACGAGTTCAGGACGGCGGCGGTGGAAGGCCCGTTCGTCACCCCGGACATGGAGGACTGTGGCTACAACACCCCGCAGACGGACGAGTCGACGCTCATGACCATCGCCTACGTCATGGCGGCCATCTGCGCCCTCTTCATGCTGCCGCTCTGCCTCATGGTGTGCCAGTGGCGCTGCCTCCGCTGCCTGCACCCCGGGCAGGACGACTTCGCCGACGACCTCTCCCTGCTGAAGTGAGGGCCGGCAGACGGGACCCCGGGCACCGGGGGCGGGCTCCAGGGGCACGAGGAGTCCCGGAGGGCGCCGTGGCCAGAGCGCCTCAGGACCCTTGCCCACCCATGAAATGCCTCTGCCTGGACAGAACAGAAGCGAGCGCTGGCAGGTGGGTTGGAGCGGCGGCAGCTGCGGGGGACCGGCCAGGGGGCACAGTGCTCCGCCGCCGCACTCGAGCAGGGAAGTCCTGCTGCTTGGAACCTCAGCCCGAGTCTGCCCGCCCCCCTCCACGTCCCCCAACCCAGACGAGTCCTCCTGACTTAGTTCCCGACGCAGTGGCGTCCCGCCCAGGTCGCCCAGTGCGCGTGGGGACTCCGGTCTCCCTGCTGGCCCAGGCAGGAGGGGCCAGCGCCGGCGGCTTCGCTTCAGAGACAGGCCCTGTAGCAACGAGCCTAACGGGGGCGCAGGCTGCCTCTCGAATTAAATGGAAATAATCTGACTGAGTATCTGTACACACGGGTGGCTGGGGGGGGGGGCAAAGGCAGGGGACCCTGGGATTGAAGCCAGGAGGGGTACAATGGGCCACTCGCCAGTCCGCTTCGACTTCATCTCCAAGACAGAACCCGTCGGGCAGGATGGCTATGCCCCCCGGGCCCCCTCCTGTGGCTGCCGCCTGACCAAAGGCGAGGTGGGAAGAAGGGCTTCCTCAGCCAAAAAACTCTTTTTAGCTCATAAATGAAGTGTCCGCTACGAAGTTCCCTCTAACCATAAATTTCTACCTTATTGACGTCGCTGGTCTCCACCCGCACACTTTGCTCTGCACATGCTGGTGGCAGGGAGGCACCCACCCCCAAGCAGGTGCCCCGTGGGGCAGCGGAGCAGGGCTGGTCCGTCTTCCTGGCCACCGGTCTCTCCCTCCCCACCCCTCGTGTCCGGAGCGCCGCAGCGGAGGTGTAAGGACAGACCGGAATCTCCTCCACCTGGTGATCCGAGAGCAGGATCCCGCAGATTCCTTCTGCAGCCCTAGGGGGACGCCCCTTTCCCGCCTGACTGCCTCCTGCTCCCGTAACACCACCGAGCTGCCCCATTGCCTTCTCGCCCCGTGCTCACCCCCCACTGGGCTGGCGAGGCGTCCCGCGGGGGCACAAGTGTCACCCAGTGTCAGGGGCACGGGGCTTGCTGATCTCGCACCCCCGCCTTCGGGGCCTCCCTTCTCTTCACCAGAGCTCCTCCGGACCGTCCTTTCCTCCACCCTGCCCTCCACCCCCCACTCCCAACAGGACTTGGGTGCCCAGGCGGGTTCTGGGACTAAGTGCTGGGGACCAAGTCCATCTCCCATCGGGTCTAACACAGTCGACCGTGGCACCAGGGTCAGTGGGCAGAGCCTCCCGAGTTTCCCTCGTGTACCCCTGGGTCCCACGCCTAGGTCAGCACCCAGGTGTGGGGCTGCTGGGTGCAGTTACCTGAGGGGGGAGAGGGCGCCGCAGGGGCCTCGGGAATCCCGGCCTCAGCCGGCTGCCCAAGGCCATCACCAGCGAGCGAAGGGCAGTGTTTCCACCCGGCGCTGCGTGGCTGGCGGGACCCCCACCACCACCGAGCCGGGCAGGAAGAATGGCAGAGCCTGTCCACGCCCAGCCAGGGGCTCACGGCGTCAAAACCCCCAGAACTGCGCCGGGAGAGGGAAGTGCCTCTCTGCTCTACTCCCAGCCACGTGGGGAACCGGCTTCCCCAGCGCCTCCCAGGGCACAAGCCCAGCCCCAGCGGCGAGTCCCCCACTGCCCACTTCCTTCCAGAGAAAACGCCTTTCTCTTTACAGTCACCTCCTTTCTGCCCTACACTATAAACTCCAAGTGTGAAGAGAACATCTTGACCACGCGTCTCGCTTGTAAAAATACGTATGCTCTCTCATTTTCAAATCCTACTCCTGAGAAACGACTGTCCCCTCCTCACTGGGACGGGGAGGTCCCAGGGCCCCCCCGTTGGTCTGCATGGCCCTCGCCACCGCGGGCCAGGGGGCAGAGGAAAAGGGAAAACGAGGCTGGCCCAACCTCAGTGCTGCTTTCTGATGGATCCTGAGCAGAAAGGAGAGAATGACGACGAGGCCCCGAGCACGACCCTCCAACCACGGTCCCCTGCCAGCTGGCTCTCGAGGGCCTCGACTTGGGCCCACCTCCTCCCTCTCCCCCTCTGGCTTCAAAGATCTGTGGGAAAGAAACAGGGCATTCTTTATACCCGCTTCTCATTTCTAAGTTTAGGGGATACAGAAAGCAGCTGCAGGCGGCCCAGGGGTGCTGCGAAGCTGAGGGGTCTTCAGGCTACGAGATGTAAAGCGAACCCCCTGGCAAGTGAAGGAGCAGAGGGGCCGTCTCCACGGTGCCACACCCCCTGGTCACGACAGCCACCACCCTGGAGACACGAGAGTGGGCCACCTGACCTCTAGGAGGGGAGTACTCGGGCCACTGCAGGGAGACCCCGCTGCCTACACTGAAGCCGGCCAGTAAACGGGGCGAGTGAGACGGGGAAGAGGAAGAGCGTGTCCCTGTGCTGACAGGCGAGGACGAAAGGGCAGAGTGACAACAGAGTGCGGTGGACCCAAAGGGGCCCTCTGGCTGCCCCACGCGTTGCTAGCACGAGCCCCCCCGGGTCCCGGACAGGAAACATCCGCTGTGGGTGATCTAACCATGGCCTCCACTGGAGCTTTGTGTTTTATAAATTAACACTTAGTTTCTAGCTGTTTAATTCCAAAAGAGGAGCGAGCGGAAGCCACTTCCGTTCAGTGAAGGAGAGACAGGGAGGGGGGAGCTCCAAGAGCCCGGCTCCTCTGGCACAGACCTGCGTGCTCGGTGCAGGCGGCAGGTGGGCGCCTCCCGACCCTCCGGCCCAGCCTCCCTTCACAGAGCTGGTCTCCACCTCCCCCGGGCAGGAAAAACGCCCCCCGAGCTCTCCTGCTTCAACACTGGGAGCCCAGCGTCCCGGGAGCGTCCTGGAGGTGATTTTGCAGAATCCTCCTCCCCCAGGCCTGCCTGGAGCTCACCCGAGGCCCGACAACCGGCTGTGAACCACTGCCGTAACCTTCCGGGGAGGGCTGGCTGGGCGGGGGCCGGAGCGGGGGAGCGGTGAGGGCTCCCCGAGTGGGCGAGCCGGCGGCACACGGGGCTCGCCAGAGGAGACCTGGAGGTTGTGCCAGTTCCTAAAGGGCCGGCTGTCTGGGAAGTAGGTGAACAGAGGATTGTGAAGACATGGGGAAGTGAGGCCCGGTTATGTTGTTCTTCGACTGTGAATTCTGCTGTTGTGAAACAGAGTATTCTGTAAACCTAAAGCCTATGTACAAAAAATGAGCATTAACACAGTAAAAGACTCAGTGAAAAGTCAAACTGTTAGGGCTCCATTTGTCCTCAGCCGCACCCGTCCATCTGGAGAGCTGCCTGACCACACCGGCTTCCATGCCTTTCTGCGGCAAGGCGGCGGCGGACGGCGGCGCGCACCGGGCCAGGTCTGCACACGGCCTTCAGAGATGGACCGGGGGTCGAGCCAGATCAAAGCAGCACAGCCTCAGCCCAACAGCAGCTTCCGAACGGTTTTTATATTGTATTTGAAAACAGCCGTAGGCAGGAGTATCATAACTTCAAGGCCAAACTAAGTATCATCTTAGCTACAATCTGCATCCCCCAAGGAGTTGCAAGCTGAAGGGGACAGGCCATTTCTGCATAATATACATACTTTCATTTACGAACATTTGAATACAGACTTTCTATACACACATCACCTATATAATAAAAATGTACAAGGCATGAGTACACGTCACTGTATAAATATAGAGTTTTAGAAATCTTGAACCCGCGCTTCCTGTTCCCACCGGCTTCTCTTCTTCCTCTTCCCCAGTCAGGTCTGTCATTTAAGAGCTGGACAGAAGGGACAAGTGTCATTTGTGTTGGTCTGGGCCCAGAACTTGATACACTGGAAGGAAAGAGAGACACACCTCAGGTTCATCTGGAGACAGGGAAGGGGAGAGCTGTCACAGCTCGGTGGGTCTGAGGACTTTACTAAGTCACCCCAAGGCCCTCTGGAGTGGGTGCACCTGCTGTTTCACAGAGAACGTTACAATCTGCTAGTGACAGTGGGAAGCAGCTTCCTGTTGACTATCTAGGCCCCTTAGGATCCACTCAGGCGGAGATGAGCTTCCATCTCCTAATACACACAACCCTAACATTTTTTTAAAATGTTTTTATTAATTTTTTGAGAGATAGATAGAAACATCGTTTTGAGAAACATCCATCAGCTGCCTCCTGCACGCCCCCTACTGGGGTCACGCCCGGAGCCCAGGCCTGTGCCCTGACCGGGAGCCAAGTTGGGACCTCGCAGTCCACGGGACGGCACTCAGTCCACTGAGCCACACCGGCCAAGCAACCCTGAGGTCTTATTCAGGATTTTCCCCTTACCAAGAAGTTAAATGTAAATTCAGTTTCTACCTCTTGTTGAAACAAAATGAACAAAATAAAAAAGCAAAAAGGGAGCCGCCCTGCTGCTAAGACCCGTAGCTCTGGGTAATCTGTCCGTCTGGAAAGATAACCTCTAGCACGCAGGCCTCCGAGCTCCGACTGCCAGCGGCGTTCCTGATCCCATGTCAGGGTCTTCCCTCCCCTCATGTAAGCAGTGTCCTGACAGCGCTACACTGAAACAGCAGTCAGATACGCGTCTCTTCCTGTCCGCTTCTCCAGGGAGCGACCGGCTCGTGCCCCAGTGTGAGCTGCTGTGAGCCCACGGGACGGGGAAGAGGCGGGGAGACCTAGCTGCCGTGTCCTGGACTCTGCTGACGTCTCAGCCTGCTAACCACCTCACGGGCGGACGCTGAGGACGAGCTCGGCACTGGGCGCGGCGTGGGAAGCGCGGAGCGGCACCCACCTCCTTGTGCAGCACGTGGGCGCAGGCCATCGGGTGCAGCTCGCCGGGCTGCACGAGCTTCTGGCACATGAGGCACAGCTTGCAGGCGGCGGCAGCCTGCAGAGCAGAGGGGGGCGGCAGTGAGAAGGCGGGACCTCTGGGTCTCCTTGCCTTCGGTGCGCGGTTCCGCCTCCTGTTCCCACGTAGTGAAAAGATTTCACACCAGAAGAAACTGAGGTTCAAATACAGCTTCCTGCCAGAAGTACTTACACTTCCCCAGCGGTGCTGCCGGCCACCGGCTGCTGGGGTCGCGTTCCTTCCTACACTCTGTCTGCGAGCCCGCCCCCCTTGCTGACATCGCCCCACCTTCACATCCTAGTCTTCAAAGAAAACGAGCCTTACATGTGAGGACCTTCCAGGATATGAGACTTGTGCAGAAGGCAAGAACATTGGGGTACTGATCTGGGCCAGCGGAGCGGGGAACAAGGCCCGGATCCGACCAAGTGGCTGTGGGCGAGACGGGGGAGAGGAAGGAGAGTGAGCGACAGTGCGGACACAGAGCTCACGCAGCTCCCGGCCCTGGAGGAAGAGGGTGCCCAGCTATAGGGCTGCTCGCCTCCCGGGTGTCTCTGCAGCTGCCGCTCCCCAGCACCCCCGGGTGGAGCCCGGCCCGCCCACCTGCGCGCTCGCGGCCACTCGCTCGTGCTCGGCCAGCCGCGCGGCCACCAGCTGCGCCAGCTCCTCCATGGTCAGGCCTGCCATGGTGGTGCGTGCCGTCTTGATCTGCTGCAGGATGTTGGTCATCTGCGCCCTAGGAAGGGAGGAGAGCGATTCTAGGCTCCACTCCTGGGAAACAGCCACAGGCCTCTCCCCCTCGAGCCCACAAATTCATCCGGCAAGTTTTTTAAAGTCAGCCCTGAAGACGCGTACTTATTGCATTGTGGGAACCGGGCCAGCAGTTTTTCCAGGATCTTCTCCAGTTTGTCGACTGGCTGGGGCCGGGGAGTTTCAGCAGAAGCCTTGACACCGCCCAGGCCTGGGGGAGGCGGGATGGAGGCGGCGGGGGGCACGTGTGGACCGTGGGAGCCGACAAGGGAACCCAGGCCAGGGCTACTTCTCCCTTGGGAGCCAGGAAGGGGTGGGGACGGCTGGTTGGGCTGGGAAAGGGCAGGACTCAGGATGGGGAAAGACAAGGAACGAGGATCTGCACTGGGCATAACCATGGGCATCGTGACCTGCCCAATGGAGAAGGGCATCCGAGGAACCAAAGAGGGGCTGGGCTGAAACACCTGAAGCATGAAGTCTGTCTGTAGAGGGAAAGAGACAGAGGACCAAAGAGAAAGGAAGAAATCAACGAGCAACTCTTATATCAAATAAAACCAGTAATAATGTAGTAACAAAACCAGCATCTTCTTAAAGAGACAAGTCACAGAAAGGCTTACCTCTGAGGGGGGAGGCGGCAGAGTGGGCGTGGGGATCTGAGGGAGGCTGCTCAGCTTGGCCCCGTTCCTCACCAGCTGGATGTGGCTATTGAACTGGTCCTGGTGGTGGGGGGAGCACTGCCCTGACTGCCGGCTGAGCGCCCCCAGAGAGGCCCTCCACCCGCCGGAAGGGAGCAGAGGGAGCGGCGCCCTCCTCACCACCACGGGGTTTGAGCAAGAGGAACGCAGCCTGCCGACCCCACTCCGCTTACCCGCACGTTCTTCTTCATCATCCGAACTCCATTCAGCCTGGTCTCCCACTCCTGTTTGGAACGGACTGTGTCTAGTGTTGGGGGAGTTGACCTTTCAAGAAACCAACAGGAATTTACAGAATGAAAGAAAACCTAACTCCCAACGCTCTGGGAGCACAGCAGTAACTGGCCAGTGGACCTGAGAGAAGAGGTCGAACCCGACGCCAGAGAGGGCCAAGGAGTGAGGCCGTCTGCCCCACTGCAACACCAGCTTCTTTCCAGCCAAGTGTGGAGAAAGAGAACCCACCACGACACAGGGTCTTTCGTGCACAGGGGCCTCCAGATTCCGTAGCAAAAAGAGGAGAAATGACTGTGTAAGAAGCAAGTCTCAAAGGGTACTTGTTACACTTCAACAGCGTAAAAGATACTGTTTTTCAATAATACAATAGGAAATGCAAAACTATAAAACTGCAGAAAGGGAGAGGCAGAGAATGAGGAGGTTAGGAAACAGAAAGAGAAATCATGGAGCAATTAGTACTGCAGTCAGAGAGGCCTCGAGAGGCCCGAGATGTACAGTCAGTGCCCGATTAGCTGGCCTAGGGTTTCAAACCTTAAAAAACAAACAGCCCAGCCAGTGTGGCTCAGTGGCTGAGCGTCGACCCTGCACTGAGAGGTCACCAGTTCGATTCCCAGTCAGGGCACATGCCCAGGTTGTGGGCCCGATCCCCAGTGGGGGGCGTGCAGGAGGCGGCCAATGTTCTCTCTCATCGATGTCTCTCCCTCCCCCCTCCCTTCCTCTCTAAAATCAATAAAGGAAACACCCACAGAACTCCAGGACCAGGACCGGCTGGGCCGGGACACCTACTTGAGGTACGTGAGGTGCAGCTCTGCCTCCTTTTCCGCTTCTTCCAGCTTCAGCACCAGCAACTCTTTCCGACTCTCTAGGGATAAGATCTGAGAACACCACACACACACTCTGTTTAATGTACATGTACGAAGCTTACTTCAAACAAATGCTCAGGGCTATGTGGTATAACACTTACACGGCTCAGGGGTGCAACACTATAGACCAAAGTATGTGCCGTCCGGAGCCCAAAACGGAGGCCCTCAGTCCGGCAACTGTCCTCCTCACCTCTGCCTTCCAGGCCCGTTCTGTCTCCTCCATAATGTTCTGGTTTATTTCGCCATCCTGATTCTTGAGTCTGTCCAGCTCCATCTCCCACACCTCTCTGCAAGACAGGGAGCCACGAACACGACTAAGGGGAAGACACCAAGGAAAGCGAAGCCCAAACGGGCCCGCCAAGGGCGTCACAGGACGCCCCGCGCTAAGCATCACCTCTACAGACAAACAATGTCTACACTAGTCTGTAAGCGCACAAAGGCAAGTGAAGTTTGAAAGTAAAAATGTTCACGTCTCCACTTGCTGAAGTAAGGCCCCGCAGAGCAGGGAAGAGACTCAGAGCCAAGACCCCGTGAAGGGGGGAGTCCTGCGCTCAGGAGGGCTGGGCCACCGCGGCCCCCACTTGCAGCCCATCTTTCAGTGCAGGTGCCGGGAAGGCGGGCGGACGGGCGCACTAACACCAGCCTCTGACTCGCTGCTAAGCGCACAGTCACTGAACTAGACGTTGCTGTTTCTTAGCTACAGTGGACGTTCTTCAGAAGGAAGAGATCTCGTCACACTTCAGGACCCTCATTCCCCTCAGTCCCCTCCCTTCCGACCCCCCCCAGCCCTGGAGCGTAATCCACTCCGGATGAGGAGGACGGTGTCTGTCCAGTGCCGAGGGGCTCCCAGGCTGTGCGCATCAAGCACCCTGCTCAGGACTAAAGCTGCCGATAAAGGAACAGAGCCAGCAGAAGAAATTCCTTATGTTGCACTTGACTGTGATACGTTGTATGGCTGGAAGCAACAGGATTACCCAGGTCACTGGACAGAATAATACGGGAAAGTTTAAATTATTTTAAAAAGGTGAAAATTAGAAGGTTGAAGACAGTTACATCTTTAAAATGTTGCCAGTTTTGCCCGGCCCGTGTGGCTCAGTGGATAGAGCATCGTCTGATGGATTGCAAGGTCCCAGTTCGATTCCCAGTCGGGCACATGCCCAGGTTTCCAGCTCGATCCCCAGTAGGGGGCGTGCAGGAGGCAGCTGATTGATGTTTCTCTCTCACATGGATGTTTCTATCTCTCTCCCCTCCTCTCACTCTAAAAAAAAAAATCAATAAAAACATATTAAAATAAAAAAAATAAATAGAATGTTCCCAGTTTTCTTCAGCGAGAGAGAGTTTTGTTCCTCTTCTGTCAGTGGCCTTACATGCTCAAAGGCAGCGATGCACTTACACTGTTGCCGTCTCTGCCCTCTGTCACCTGACCCAATGCCACATCCGTTTCACCTGACCCAATCCCCCACACATCCCCGTTTGCTACTTCCCAGGTAAAGTACGGGGGGGGGGTGTGCGCGCATGACACACACATTCACTGACTCACTGATGTGAGTCTGCCCCTCTCCTGACAAGCTCTACTTAATGTCACAGAAATGACTAGGGGGACATGTTCCTCCTTAATCCCCATGTGTTGTCCTCAAATTAACTTCTTGCCAGAGGAAAAATTCTCTGACAGTTCTTCAGACAAAGGTTTATAGTAGATGTGTTTTCCTGCTACAACACAAATTCCTCAAGTTAAAAAATAGATGAGGTGTTACCCCGCCTGTGTGGCTCAGTAGTTGAGCGTCGACCATGCACCAAGATGTTGCTGGTTCAATTCCCGGTCGGGGCACATGCCCAGGTTGTGGGCCAAGTCCCCAGTCAGTAGGGGGCATGTAGGAGGCAACCAATTGATGTTCTCTCTCATCTCTCTCTCTCTCCCTCTCTCTTCCTCTCTCTCTAGAATCAATAAAGAAAAAAATTTTTTTTAAAAACATATATATGAGGTGTCAAAATTCTCTAACCACAGGAATACGTAAAATATGTTTAGGGGTCAATCAATTATCTCTTTAGCCTACTAGCCACTCTTTGACGATGGGATAATCGTAGAAAAACATTACAGTTGCCTTCTTCAATCAATGTTATTCTTGAAGATTACAGATGCTTACCAATATCTTTAACTTCATTAAATACATTTGTCAACTACAGATAAATATTTATATTTAAAAAATCCTCCTACCATGCCCATGAAGACATCCACATATTCATACACACACAAAAAGTTTTTCCTGCCCTGGCCGGTTTGACTCAGCAGTTAGAGCGTCGGCCTGTGGTCCAGAGAGACCCGGGTTCGGTTCCCGCTGAGGGCACGTACCTCGGTTGCAGTTTGTCCCCGGCCCTGGTTGGGTCGTGTGGGTGGCGACCAGTTGATGTCTCTCTCACATCGATGTTTCTCTCTCTCTCTCTTCCTCAGTAAATAAATAAACAAAACAAAACAGACCAACAACAAGCTTTCCCTTTGGGCACTCGGCCACAGCCACCACACTGGCATCAGCAAGACGAAAGGGACCACTGGCACCACCACAGCTGCTCGCAAACACCTTCAACAACCACAAAATGCTTGGCCTGGTATGTAACTGGACTGTGACACGCTTCGGATTTCACTTCACTAAAGGGGACCGGCTACCTGCAACCCACGCAGCAGAAAGCGAGCTCCACACAGCAGCTGGCCGACAAGGAAAGATGAAGCCGGCGGGACGAGCCGACCGCGCTGAGCGTGGGCCTGTTGCGCCGGGTCCGATTTCTCAAGCCCGCGCCCCTGCTCTGCACAGCTGGTTCCGGGGCCGGCAGCTCAGACGAACCACCTAACACTGCACAAGCCTGACTGGCCGGAGGTCCCCATTCTGCATATTGCATAAGTTAATTTTGTTTCTTTTTTTTTGTTTTTGTTTTTTTTTAATCCTCACCGGAGGACATTTTTCCATTTTTTGTTCAGGTAGAGTGGGAGGGAGAGAGAGGAACAGAGAGAGAGAGAGAAACATCGATGCGAAAGGAACACATCGAGTGGCTGCCACCCGCACAACCGACCAGGGCCGGGGACAAACTGCAACCGAAGTACGTGCCCTTAGCGGGAACCGAACCCGGGTCTCTCAGGACCGCAGGCCGACGCTCTAACCGCTGAGCCAAACCGGCCAGGGCTAATTTTGTTTCTGATCAGGTAAATAATACAAATTATAAGAAGTTTTACAAATATAAAACATAAAGAATATAACATAGACGTTCCAACTCTTCTATTTATTGCCTGTACTACCCTAGATAAGTTCGTCTTTCTAGGCCTCAGTTTCTTCTGAAAAACGAGTAGTACCTACAGCATGGGGTTCAGGGGAGAGTTCCCCGAGAAAACACACATAAAGAATTTATATAGTGCCTAGAACATGGGATGTGTCCAAAACATGTTATTTTAAGAGTATTTTTAACTCAATTTCTCACAATTACACTACTAACAAAGAACCCTTATTATACTTCTTCCCAGTCTTTTACATATATATATATATATATATATATAATATACAAATTCATTACGTTTCTCAAAGACTGTGATTTTTATCTTACTCTTCGAGCCTCATGTATTTTCAAAAATGTAATTTTTAAATAACTATCCACATATACTATTTATTTAGGTATTTTCTGAAGTTATTTTCAATTTCACAATGATAACTATTCTATAATGAGCGCCTGTGCACATGCACTCACACAGGTTAGTGATACAAGTGACACGTTCAGATTCGAGAGGAAGCTACTTCCATGTCCACGGCCTGTGGACCAAAGCAACACTGAGTTAACATGCAGCCCCTATTACTTGTTGTGCCCTATTCTGCTGGAGTAAAGTGGAATAAAAAAAGAATCTGCCTCTCATAGAGCTATCTGATTAAATGAGTTAAATACGTAATACTCTTAGAGCAGTCGGGCATACAGTTAAGAACTTAATAAATGCTAGTTATATGGACGTTAGAACATCTTCCTTCAGAGAAATGAAAACATGCAGTATATGCTGGTTCCACCATTAGTGGTGGTGGAAATTAGAGGATTTTAACAAAGAGAAGCAGATGCTAAGTATCTTGTGATATCCTCAATAGCCAGAGAGAGAGCTAAAAATTAAGCCAGTGAGTCCAAAACACCTTCCTTTCAGAATACATTACTCCCTAGGCAAGGCAAAAGGAGACAGACAAAAACTACCGGGTGAGTTAATATATCAGGGTTGGCTGTCCTGAATGTGGGGTAGTTTACGAAATCCCTTTCTCTGAATCTGAAGCTAATACAAACCAATACAGAACGAGTAAGATCAGATACAAAGCAGAAAAAAAATTTACCCTGGGATGAACTGCAAATTTACTGTTATGAGGCTAGAATTCTTTGAGTTAATTTAACAACATTTACTGAGCAGCCTAGTGACAGGCACTATGCTAAAATCTGGGTATATAAGGTACCCAGTACCTGCCCCCAATAAGCTCACAATCTAGTAGTTTTCTGAGTTAACAAAAACACGGATACTTGGGGCAGAACAAATAGCACGTGCAAATGCCGAAGAGGTAGAGGCACCAAGCTCGGGAGCGGGCACTGGAGGTCCAAGCCAGCACGCGGCGGTCTGGGCCAGGGACACGAACGGCAGTGCACTAGCACAGGGACAGAGACCTGGGTGTGAAGGGAATCATCTAGAACAGCGGTTCACAGGCGGTTCTTGGTCCCTGACGCCCTCGGCGGCCTGGTATATGAAGCAAATACTCCTTTCCTAGTAACACGGACTTTGTTTGCCTTTTCCACCCTCATTCTTCCTGGGTCTACGATGGAGTTTTCCTGAGACCACATGACAAGGGGTAATATCATCGCTTTGATGGCTCATGGAACGTATGCTTCTATGCTGTTTTCTAGCATTTCCTAAGGTAGGTGTAGGGTGTATTTTAATCTCTCAATTTTTTCTTTCTCAATTTTTCTGTGGTGCTCCTCCTAGCGATCTTTGGTAATACTTGCTATAATCTCTATAATCTCATTATTGCCCAATAAATCATTACTGTAAAATTTCAAAGTTCTTCATGCATCTTGGCAGAAACAAGTACTTAAAAAAATGTTTTTACTGGTTTTTTAGAAAGAAAGGAAGGGAGAGAGAGAGAGAAATATTGATGTAAGAAACATCGATTGGATGCCTCCTGCACGCCCCCTACTGGGGATCGAGCCCACAAACCAGGCACGTGCCCCAAGTCCATGGGGCGCAATCCACTGAGCCACACCAGCCAGGCAAAACAAGTATACTTTA